ACTTTGTATGGTTCATGTCATAGAATTGGGTTTGAATTGTAATCCTAACATCATTAGTTAGTCATTAACCATCCCAATTCAATTGCTTTGCCCAAATCTCATGCTTTCCCATAGTTGATCAAGTTTTTAGTTGTTGACTTTACGGTTGACTTTTGCAATTCGAATTTGTTTGAGCTTGGTTATGGGTTGCTTTAGTCTTGTTTAGTTTCTATTTGGTTGATTAGTTTTGTTTATCTTTATTTTGCATTCGCATTTGCTTGTTTTACTTAATTGCATAGTTAGGACTTTGAAAAACAAAAAAAAAAATCATTTAGCTTAGATTAATTAATTGCTTGCATTCTTAGTGTGTTATTCTCAACTCCTTGTGGATCAATACCTAGATTACTACTCGTTGTTTGCACTTGGGTACTAATTTAGAATTTAAAACTTTTATCTCAACAGTAATCAGTAGAAAAAGGTACTCCCTCCGTTTCAAAATATAAGTTGTTTTGGAGGTTTTTTTATGTTTCAAAAAATAACTTATTTTGATAATCATAGGTACATTTTAACTTTATTGACTATTGTGTGACCAATAATATTTTGCAGTCGTTTTTTTCATTGGTTAAATTATTTTTATTATATATATAGGATGATACTTTTTAGAAGAAAAATAGTTTCTTAATATTCGTACTTTTAGCTAAAACAACTTACATTTTAAAAACGGAAGGAGTATAATCTAAACGACGCAATCACAGGTTACACTGTTTAGGTGAGAGTCCTCTAAAGCTTTAGATATTAATCACAAAAAAAAACTGAATATGAGTTTGTGTAAAATTTGGACCATTGTATGCATTCGTATAGCTGTATCCAAAATCATGGACTGCGATATACGTAAGAATGTGGAACATAAGATAAGAGTTGTGGAAAAGACAATACTTGGGACAACAGTTTTTACTTGCGTGTTTATACAAACTCTACTTCTCTTAGATATGAATATTTGATCCCTAAGAACGCTCTTCTCTGTGGCAAGGCAAGTGGCCGCCACACAACATTGTTGTGTGTGGAGTGAGAAATATTAATACCGTGGTTGTTTTAAAATATGATTTGCTATGATCGTTGGATATTTATATAGAAAAAAAAGGTTTAATCAAATGTTATAGAAGTAATTTTTCTTGATTCTACTGAACAAATGGATCCACCCAAAAATAGAAATAAGTAGAAGATAAAAAAACAGAGTATGCTCAAATATGATGTTCACATCGGTAAGCATGAACCGGCTGGATTGCATCTAAGTCGAAAAAAATTTAAATTAATACTCTATATAGATATTTAATTATTATAATAGAGAAATTTTAAAAAATGCCATTTTTCAAGTGCCACTTTACAAAAATGCTACACTTTTGAAATCTTTACAAAAATGCCACTTTTTCAAA